AAAAAAACCTTAAGCTTAACTTAAGGTTAAGCTTATAAATTAAGCTTTAAAGCTCACTTAAAAGAGAAGTAAGCCTACTTTAGACTGCTTACCAAAGATATAACTTCTTTTCGAAGTTTGCTGCATCGCTTTTGGCAATTGGCGATCTTCTTTTTAAGTTTTTCACAATTAAAACAAACTGGCTCTTGGTTACGAGGAACAGCAGATGGCGTAGAGTAGGAGTTCCCAAGCTTGTTCTCTTGTAATTCATAGTCTTTTTCATGCACGTCCTCAATTTCTCCTTCAGATGCATGCAGGTTTTCGATTTGCGAGTTCAGAGTAAGACTACCGACAGCTTCACGTAAGATCTATTGGATTTCACAAATAACAATGTCACTTTAGCAAATCTTATTTTAATTCTAAAGGCCGAGAGAAAACAAAGCTGTACTCACGTATCGTTTTTCGCGAGGCGTGGAAGTGTATTCCTTTTTCGTTTTCTGTTCTTCGTTTTGCAATTGAAGAGTAGGTACTGCCTCTCTAGAAAGAGTTCTTTTGATGTTCTTTGAGTTTCCTGATACCTCCTCCCCAAGCTCTTGTAAGGTAAACCTTTGGTTGAAGCAAGATGGTTCGAAGTGGGTTGAACAAAGTGCCGAATATTTCGTTGGGTTAAACTCTGGTCTGTGGATTCTCACGAATGACGTCCACTGTTTTCTACGTTTAGGGTCTTTTGGGAAAACATGCATAGAAATTCCCTTTGTGTAGCTCGTATTTTTGCAGCTTATTTTATTTGATCCGCCAGCTACGCAATAAAGGCCGCCATGCTTCGTTTTGCACTCCGCCATTTTTGGCAAAACCGGCTCCTTCAAATGGTGTGACGTCACAGCCATCAAATACCGCGCGAAAAAATATTCGCCAATGCCCGGTCAACTTTCGTCGAAAAAAATACGATTTGAGTTGCGTTTCTTTTTGGTTATACTTATCGTTTCGTTTTTATTAATATTTGAACTAACATTTCGAGTATTAATAATTTTTGAGGCATATACACTTTAAGGTTAATTTCTTTCAGTGTAAATGAATTTCGGTTGTTTAAAAACATTTGGTGTTTCAACCGATTATTATCGCCAGAAGTGTTCATTTCTATGCAGCTGAGAGTGATTTGCCCAGACTAATTTGTATGTATTTGAAAAGCTCATCTCTTCTTTAGTATTCACTCCGAATTTTATTGCAAACAAAACACTTGCACATTAAAAAAATGATCGTTTTCTAAAGAATAAGAAAATACATGGTAATGGTAATGGTAATGGTAATATTTTGAGTTCCAGAAAATTTTGCTTTTACTTAAATGGTCTGAAAATCAATGAAATAAATAAGAAAGAGTTTAGCGATTTTCTTGCGAAAAATGAAATATTTTGAAAAACAAATTACACAGCGATTGTAACCTAATCATACCTCATCAATATACAAAATATGAATAGATTTGATTTTTCGAGCCTTGCCAAAAATTTTCAGTTTTGTCTGGTTTTTGTACGAAGCGGCTCTTAATAACGAAAGTCAGCATGTATTAAGACCTCAATATCCCAATGAATACCAAATAGAAAACCCTAACAGATGGCGATGGGAAACTGACCACAGACCATTCCCTAATATGGACAACAGGCCTTACCCTAATATCACCAAAAGACCTTTCCGTAATACCACCAACAAACCTTACATGTACCCTAATACCACCAACAAACCTTACATGTACCCTAATACCGCCAACAGACCTGTCCATAATACAGCAAGATGGTCACCCACTTACAAGGCTTCTGAGAGTCTATTATCAAACTGGAAAAGCAACAACTGTCAAGAAAAGTACAACAAACGCCCTAATTACAGTCCATCATTATACTGGAAAGCTAGTACCCCAAGTCCTGAGTTCAACAGATGGCAGTATACACCAACACATAGCACTAACCACTACCCTTCAACTGCTTCAACTAATTGTTCTCCGTGTAGAGGTGGCTTTGAAAATATTAACACTCAAGTTGCTATTGTTATTATTGTTGTAATATTGTTAAATTGAACTATTCAAAAATGACAAAATGTTGGTGTTCAAAAGTAAGTTACTCAACATAAAACAATAATGAAAAGTTATGCAACTAAAGGAACTTTGAGTAAAAGCAAATGGCAAATGTGTTGAGACTACATAATGTACTCTGCGAACAGAGCTACTTTTCTTACTCGCTTTATCGGCAGGTGAGAAAAGTAGCTCTGTTTGCAGAGCAGACTAAATGTGAATGTAATTAATGCAAGCTGCTTGTTATCAGGGCAGTATAAAGCCAATGCTTTCAGTGGGCATGAAAATATTGTACATCCTTAAAGTGTAATAAAGTTGAGTTATGAACTATTTAGACATTTGTTTTGGGACCTTTTAGAGTCAAAATAATGCTTTGACATGTACATTCTCATAAGTCAATTTCTGTCAGTATTAACAACTTTACAACTTTTACAGGTTACTGTGTACTCCTAATATACATTCCCACAGTGGCTGAAATAATTTAAGGAATGTGCTACTGTAATGTTCTCAAGTGCCTCCAATATAGCCATTTCTGTATACRCCTGTGAAAATGTCTCGTTCTGTCTCAGAGCTTCCTTCATTTGATGAAAACAATATTCACAAGTATTAAAGTGTGGGGAATAAGGGGGCTGAAACAATAACCCTATTCCCTTTCTGGCAAGCATGTGTCTAAGAGTTAGCTCTGCCACTTTAGAGTGATGGAACCCACAGTTATCCATGATAACAACATCTCCTTCTATAAAAACAGGTAAGCCATTGTCTCTTTGACTGTCAAGTGCAAAATCAAAAAATGTTATTAACTGTTCACTGTTAGAGGCACCTGGAATAACATTAAAGTAATCCACACCAAAAATACTGTGTAAGAGGTTGACAGTATAAGATGCGTTTGAAGCATACCTCTGCACTTCTATTGCCTTTGAGCCCTTGTAACTGTTGCCATATAAACGTCGACCTTCCAAATACTGATCAATTGTTCTAATGGCGCTTGGGATATTTTCTTGTGAGTCATGTCCAATTTGTTTCGAAGGCTCTTGGTTATAGCCGTTACTGTTGGTAAGTTATTAATGTTAGAAATTCCTTGTATCAGAAGTTGTTCTTGCATTTCCGATGCATACATGCTAGGCTTTTGATTCTTCCAGATTTCTAAGCACTGAAGAACACCATTAGTAATGTTGTGTTTATACACCATTTAGCCTCCGTTTAATCAACTAGTTAYGTAWGCATTTCCGGTGTTATTTGATATTCTCCATAGTCTCTACACACCACATGCTATCAGTATTCATACAAAGMTTGATTTACTTGTACGCCTACMAGATGTAAGTGYTAYATTTCGTTTATTCTACTTGTATTTTTTACCATTCATCAACCTATTGTAATTGTAATTGCTTATCGTAGTTTTCAYCGTGTGGATTAATAAAGAATAAGTTGATACACTGGTTGACACTGGCGTCTCCGCGATTCKCTATCGACTGGRGACGCGACAGTGAAAAATCTGMGACTATTGTGCGTAATAAAGTAAGAAGACTGACACTAGGATCCTGCAGATTCATCGCACGCCCGCCGAAAGACCAATGGAGCAACGAGACGGACAATAAAAGGTCCTTGGAACCGAACTGGAGAGTCGATGATCGAAAGCTACTAACAGCCTACCCAATCTACACGAAATCGACAGAATTCCAAGGTCAGAACATTATCGTCTAATTACTCATCTATTCGCGTGTATACCTTTGAATCAGTGGAAGCATTGGAAACACTCACTTACTGATCTACAAAACATCAAAGACGCAAGCAAAGACGCCATCTATCTCCGTCTGCTTGGCGAAGACAACATGGTGAGCACTTCACTACTGTACGGACAGTCAAAGGTGGCTCCAGCGAAGATCACGGGCATACCTCGCCTCGAGTTGTGTGGTGCGGTCCTCGCCACACAAGCAGTAAGGAAGATTCTGAAGGAAATGGACATGACGATAGACGAAGTGGTGTTCTATACCGACTCCAAAGTCGTCGTTGGATACATTCAGAATTCCAGCAGAAGGTTTTACATGTATGTCGCCAACAGGGTCCAGATTATACGCAACGTTTCAGAGCCGAGTCAGTGGAGATATGTCGAATCCGAAGACAACCCTGCAGACCTGGCTACAAGAGGCTCTGATACAGACAAGCTCACAAGCACTATGTGGTTGGACGGACCCCAGTTTCTMAATGACCCCGGCGTGCTACAGCCACCAGCAGCTGAGAATGTCATCCTTAATAACGAAGATCCGGAGGTAAGGCAGGAGATAACGATTAACAGAACAAGCATCGAAGTGCCTATGGGTTTGCAAAGACTAGCCCGCTTCTSGCGTCGCATTTTGGTGGAGTTTGGGAGCGCCAGATAGGCACCATTCKTCGAGTCCTCGATGCCATGCTGACTCAGCTCGGCAGCTCCCAGCTCACCCACGAGTTGCTTTCAACGCTCATGGCCGAGGTGACCGGAATAGTCAACTCCCGCCTGTTAACAGCCATCCCGTCTGACACCGGTGAAGCTCAGCCGTTGTCACCATCCATGCTGCTAACGATGAAATCTCGTCCCCTCAACCCTCCATGCAGAAACTACGTGGCAGAAGACCTCTATGCGCGAAAACGTTGGAGAAGAGTCCAATATCTAGCTGACCAGTTCTGGTCACGTTGGAAGCGGGAATACTTGCAGAACCTACAGCGACGTCCAAAGTGGCAAGACCAGCAAGTCAATCTGCAGGTTGGAGACATTGTCGTGGTCAAGGATG